CCAGAATGGTGTGCCCACAGTCAGAGGCTTCCGGGACTGTCCTGTGGGCGGAGGTGCCAGCTGACCCCAGCGCCCCACCCAGGTGGGCTCACCCTTGCAATCACGGTGGGTCAAGGCCAACAAGGTCAGGCCAGCTCAGGGACAAGTGAGGTGGGCATGTGGGTAGTGGGAGGCTCCTTCCCCCTGCAGTGGGCAGCGCTGGGCTGGTCGCCCGCACCCTCACGCCATCCCGAGCTGAGCGTTCTGTGGTCTGGCCTGCAGCCCCGCTTGCTGGGTCCTTGCCAGAGAAAGGCCAGCCGGGGGAAGACCTGCTACACCAGAGATGCCCGCCTTCTCCAGGACAGGTAGGCGCGGCTCTCTGGCTGGCAAAGTCAGACACCAAGTTCCTGGGCAGAGGAACCCATGTGTGGGCCTGGCTGAGGCTGAGTGTGCTGCTTTAGACGTGGCCACCGTTTGTGCCCGTGGAGCGGGAGGGGCAGCTGCTGGTGGGAGTTCTGGGGCTCCCTGCAAGTCCAGCCCTGCCCCCAATGACTCAGAACATGCCCTGCTCACCCCTCCATCCCCAAGGTCCTCTCCTCAGTGTCCAGAGGAGGCCCGATGTGCCTGGGTTACAGAATAAGGACAGGATGGAGGCCCAGGGATCCCCACCCTGCTGGGGCGAGTGGGCCAGAGTGAGGATGATAACAATAGGACCCGCCGGGTGCCCAACGTCGCCTCCTGGCTTCCCTGGACCCCCCTGGGCCCCTCCCCTCTTCACTGGGCCCGCCCCATCTCCCACTGTCCAGGCTTCTGGTGTGGGCCTCAGCTCCTGAGCCATTGGTGTGCAGGACCTCCACACTGCACAGCAGACTGGGCGCCTGCTGGGCTCTCTCCTGGGTCAGCTCAGTGCACATGCTGCCCACCCTCACCCCAACTTTAGCCTAGGATGGAAGCTACTGGAGGCATCCCCTGCCAGCCTGCAAATGTGTGTGGGACAGGGGGCTGCACAGGCCCAAGGCCTTGTGCTTCCAGGCCCTGAGGGTCCCAGTGCCTCCTGCTGACCGGTTGGCACCTGGCTGGAGGGTGTTGAGGGGCAGGCTGCCTAGCTCACGAGCAGTGTCCTTGCCAGCTCCAGGCTCTCCTCTCCCCACTGGGCATCTTACTCGCCGCAGCCTCTGCGGGCTCCCCAGACAGTGCTCAGGGTCACTGGGCACCTGCAGAGCGTGTTTCCACCTCTCATTCCTCCTCTGGGCTCCTGGCAAAGGGAACCCCCGCTGTCCAGCCTGCAGGGTGGTGTCAGCAGATGCATCTGTCCCCTTCTCTAGCCAGGAGCTCTCAAGGAATCACGGCAGCCTCCATGATCCAGCACATCCGCTAGGCCAGGCACTGGCTGCGGCCCTATAGGTGTCCAGGAGCTCCCTGGAGCCTCCAGCCACCCAGGCCGCCGGCCAAGGTGAAGTGTTGGGCGTGAATTTCCTTGTGTGTAGAGGCAGGCTGGGTGATTGTCACAGGTGCCCTCACCCCCACTCTAGGCTGGTGGCTTCACTGTTACCCTGTCCAGACCTCCTGACACCTCCTAGAGCCCACTCCATTCTCCCAGCAGCTCTCCACTGAGTGAGGACATGGAAAAAGGTCGAGAGGTCCCATGAGGGGCTGTAGCTGAGTGCCCCTGTGGCTTGTGTCACCCTGGAGGCCACTCTTTACCTGGAAGAAGCATAGGGGTCCCTTACTAGGGGGACTGTAAATGGGGGCTGTTGACCTGGGCTCCCTGTGAGTTTCAGGGCATCGCTCTGTGAACCCACGTGCTCTGTGTATCAGCCCTGGAGCTTTTCAAGGGTGAGAGAGGGTCTGTGGCCTTGAGGAGGTCCTCAAGGGGCTTATAACCCAAGAGAAGAGAGAAATGTGGCTCTGAACACGTGTGCGTGTGCACACACACGCACACACACAGGCTCACAAGGAAAGCAGATAAAAGTGGACTATATTAAAAAAAAAATTTTTTAATAAAAGCCCCCACTGCTGGCCCCGTCTTCCAGAATCTGTTGTAACAGATTCACCCAAGCTGGTTAACGGTATTTGCGGTTTGCAAGATGCTACACGTCCCTGGAAAATGACAGACAAGTTATTATCAGCTCTCCACTCTCCTCCTGCCCAAACCTGTCTGTGCTGGGCACCCAGCTGCCGGGAGCGGGGCGAGGAAATTAACAGCCACCGCGCCGCGCCCGCCACCCGCTGCCCTCTCACCCACCGCCCCCGCACCAGCCCTGCCAGGCCGGTGCTCTGAGCCAGGCCGGGTCCGTCGTGGCTGGGGTGGGGGGGTCCGAGGAGAGAAGGGGAGGGGAGGGCAGGGATGGGCATACACTGGCGTGTAGGCACACCATTTCCTGCAGACACGAAGGAATACACGCATCCCCGAGCAGGCAAGTCTAGACGGCTCTGTGTCAACAGCCGAAGATAAATAAGATTTTATCAGCTCAGAATCTGTTGAAACACATCCATCTAGCGGTTCTAGGGAAGGAGACGCGGGAGGGAGGGAGGGAGCATCTCCATGCAGCCTTTTATATGGGACAGAAGGACCCAGGAGTCCTCCTCCTTTCTCTCTGGTTTTCCTCAGCACCAAACCCCAAGGCCCAGGACCTCTGGGAGGAGGGGAAGGAGTTGGGGCGGGGGAGGGCCCACACCCTCCTGGATTCAGACCTGGCTCTTCAGTATTCCAGGGCTTCTTCATCTCCTGAAGGTCCCACCCCCACCCCCTACCCCTGGTTTGGCCACCCCAGGCTCCCCTCCTGCCCTGCAGCCCAGCAGCCACTGTGTCACTGCCAGATGGTACCGGGTGTGGGGTAACCTCAGGCATCCTTCCCTGAGGCTGCCCGACAGGGGCCAGGCTGGGCATCCGTGGGACCAACCCCTTGCCGGGGTAGGGGCTGGCAGGCTTGTGTGCCTGAAGGCCATATGAGCAGCCAGCTAGGGCAGCACTGGGCTGGGGACACCCCTGTGGGGAGTAGGGCCAGGCCCAAAGCCGGCAGCAGCCTTGCCTGGGACGCAGAGGGAGGGAGGGGTGTCCTCCTCTCTCCATCCTGAGGCCCAGGCTCCACTGGCCTCGGTGAGGACCTGCCCACTCCAGGCTGTTCTGTGTTCCCAGCCCCAGCCCAGCTCGGAGGGGTGGCTGCTGCCGCCCGCACAGTACCAGGGACAGCTCCTGGCGGCACCTCCCTGGGGCGGGGCATCCACACACACCGCCCCCAATCCCCTACCCAGACTTGCACGCTTGTCCCTGCGTTTTCCCCAGGACCTCAGGCCTGGGGAATCCAGATCCCAGGAGCACCCGCTAGGGCCCCCACCCCACCTGGGCTTCTAGAGGGGGACTTGCGCACTGTCCCGCCCAGGCTCTGCCCACCTTTGCCAAGGAAGGGGGCCCTGACACCCTGACTCCACAGAGGCAAGGCGCCCACCAGCCATCAATGCTGCTTCTCCAGCCATCAGGGGACACAGTGGACCCGTGACTGCCGGTCTGCAGAATGGGTGCGGAGTCCCCGCTGCTGCCCAGGACAGTGCCAAGGAGGCAGTCAGTGAGGCTGGGGTGGGGGGCTTGGAAGCAGTGCCCCCACTGTTTAGACCTGAAGGGGCTATCAAGCCGGAGGGGGAACTGTGGGCACCTTCGCTCCGCTGCACCTGGAACCCCGCTCCATCCCTGTAGGCGCTCACTGGTGAGCCAAGGGAGCCTCCCCGCCTTGGGATGTTGTGTTGGGGCTGCCCAGGAGTGCGCTGGCCACAGGCCCCTGCACTCCTCACCCACCCATTCCAGCCTGCCTGGGACTCGCTGTTCGCTATTCATGGACTTGGACTTGCTGAGACTATGGGAGCCTGAGGGTCCACGGTGTCCCCTGATGGCTGGAGAAGCAGCACTGGTGGCTGGTGGGGGCCTTATGTTTGTGGGGTCAGGGTGTCAGGGCGCCCTTCCTTGGCGAAGGTGGGCTGAGACCTGCTCCTTCCTGGTTCTGCCAGCAGCTCCCTGTTTCTAGTCTCAGTTTCCCCAACTGTACCATGGGGTGCAATGGGCACTCTCTGGGGCCTTGTGGCTGGGGGAAACTCCAAGTCCCCACTGTCCATGGGAAAGGGGCATGAGGTGCCCCGGATGGGTCCCCAGGAGCCAATCATTGGGAAATCGGGCAGCTTGGAAATGAGTGGGCACCCTTGTGATCACCAGCAGGGTCAACTTTGGACTCAGGAGAGCCAGCCTGGGTTTCAGGTGGGCTACCTGGGCCCCTGGGCACTGGCCCCAGAGGTCCCTGCTGGGCTCAGGAAGGGCACCATCCAGTCATGCCTGGGGCAGGGTCCTGGGCCTGGGGTACTGGGACTGCGTGGTCAGAGGGCTCCCCACCCAGTGGTCAAAACCAAGCCAGAGAGCTCAGCCCCTCAGACTCCATGTTCCAGGGAGTTTTCTCCCGAAGCTCGAGTGCATGGGGTACCCGGCGTGTCTGAAAATGACACGTTTCCTCCTCACAAATGCCAGAAAAGCCTAACTCTGGGCTTTTACAAACTGAGACTCGACCCCCCCGCCCCGACCCCGCTTCAAACCACTGCGGGCTGGGGGCTCAGCGTCCACAGCAGGGAGAGCCGGCTTGACTGGGCGGACCTGGCTCCCAGCCCCCAACCTCCATCTCAGTCTCCAGGCTCCAGCAGCTTTCCTGGCCTTTACTGTCCTCCTCCATAAGGTGGACACAATGGCACCCACCTCTCCAGCCAGTGAGATCGACAGAGAGTCTGGGCCTGGCTGCAGTGGGCTCAGGGCAACCCTCACTGTGCCCGAACAAGCCAAACACTCTGAGTGGTGCCCGGCAGTTGGGGGAGGTGCTTTGAGGGCACTTGGCGGAGGGGAGGGGCATGCATGTGGAGGCCGTCATCAGAGAGCTTGGGGAAAGGACTCCTGACTGCCAGCAGACAACCAGGCACTCCTGGAGGGGTGCACAGCTGGGGAGGGTGTGGAGTTGAAACTCCCAGCCTCAACCTGGCTCCCCCAACAGTACTCCCCGCTGTTGAAGAAACTCTACTGCCAAATCGCCAAGACGTGCCCCATCCAGATCAAGGTGTCCACCCCGCCGCCCCCGGGCACCGCCATCCGCGCCATGCCCGTCTACAAGAAGGCGGAGCACGTGACGGAGGTCGTGAAGCGCTGCCCCAACCACGAGCTGGGGCGGGACCTCAATGAAGGTGAGGGCCCCCAGCTCCCCTGCCCAGCTGTCAGGGCGCCCCAGCCGGGAAGGGGAGGGTTGGCCCAGGGCCTCCGACTGGGAGACAGCAGGGGCTGGTGGGAGGGGCTCACGGTGGGCTCAGCTTTCCCCCAGCCCCATTTCCTCCCAGCTCTGCCTGGGCCTGGGATGCTGGTGCCCACAGGAGAACTGCTGCTGGGCAGGCGACCCGAGGGCACAAGGGCTGCCAGTGGCCTGAGCCCCACCTGGGAGGTCCCCAGGACCAGACCTTCTGGTCCCAAGTGCTGCAATGCACATGGCCCAGGGGTGGCTGGACCCAGGCTGGGCACCTCTCTGAGGTGGCATCCCCTCCCGACAGGACAGTCTGCCCCAGCCAGCCACCTCATCCGCGTGGAGGGCAACAACCTCTCACAGTACGTGGACGACCCTGTTACCGGCAGGCAGAGCGTCATGGTACCCTACGAGCCCCCACAGGTAGGCCAGCCCCCCCCGCAAGCAGAGACCCCTCATGTCACTTCCATCGGCCACCCATTTGTTCCAAGTGTCTCCAAGTGCAGTCCGTGCAGGGGAGGTCCCTGCTGGTTTCTGACCACGCCCTCGGTCCTCTCTGGGCTTCAGCATCCCCAACTACCATGGGGGGTGGGCCTGATGACCTCTGAGCCTCAGCCCTGCACTTCTGTCCTCTTTTCACCTGTCCATTCCCTACTGGCTGGTCCGCCCTGGGGCTCGGGGGGATGGAGGGGCCGAGGCCTGGAGGACTGGAGTTAGCCAGGTGGAGTGGGAGGGTGAGGAAGGGAAGCAGAGAGAACTGTGGTCAGGGACATGGGGGCGCAGGCCCTGGTGGTGGGGGGAGCCGCAAGAGACGGACAGAGGCAGAGACAGCCTGAGGGTCCGACTTGGACCTAAGGGCAGCAGAAGGTTCTGGGGCTGACATGGGGGCCCAGCTGGAATGAAAAGCTGGGGTGGAAAGAAGTGGAGGGGCTGCGGGATGATGGTGGGATGGGGGCCAGGAGTGGTGGAGAGCAGGTCCCAGCTCTGGGCTCCCTGGGCTCCCAAGCACCCTTGCAAGGTCCTCTAAGAGCAGCCCTCATGTCAGCGGGCCCAGGGCCCAGGGAGGAATGTGACCAGCCTCTCCTCCTTCCCCCTGTGCAAGACCCTCACCTGCCAAAGCGGCCCAGGAAAGCAGGACTCTCCCGCCCCCTGGTGGCAGTTTTGTGAAAGGCCAGGTTTCCCCAAGCCAGTGACTGGCTTTTAGATCCTGACCCAGGGAGACTATGACAACTGCCCCTTTTGTGGTCCCAGCTGGTCAGGAGTCCTGGGTTCATGACTCAGCAAACCCCCTGGGAGATGGGCATGTGTGCTGGGGCTGGGCGTCCACCGGCACGGCTCTGGCCCCGCCCTCTGCCAGAGCAGTGCTGTGCATCCCTCTGCCCAGCAGGGCTCACAGCGTGCTAAACACACACCTGTACCCACAGAGGCCTGTGCACATGCCTGCTCAGACCCAGCCTCCAGGGCCTGACCTCCAACCTGTGTCAGGGGGCTTGGTTGGGGCAACCAGACCATAGCACTCTGCGCCCCCTGAGAGCAAGTGTGGTGCATGGTGTTCAGTGTGTTGCATAAATGGATAGATGGGTGGGTGGTGGATGGATAGATGGGTGGATGGTAGGTGGATGTGGATGGATGGGTGGATAAATGATGGGTGGAGAGATGGTACAGGACCACAGAGCAGGGCCCAGTTCCCACAAGCCTACTGAGAGCCAGCACCAAATATGAGGGATGGATGCTTTGAGGCCCAGGAGCCTCCACCTTAGTGAGTTGGAGCCTGCATGCTGACCCCACGGCCCTCTCCCTGCTTCCCGTGTGTAGGTGGGGACGGAATTCACCACCATCCTGTACAACTTCATGTGCAACAGCAGCTGTGTGGGGGGCATGAACCGGCGACCCATCCTCATCATCATCACCCTGGAGACCCGGGAGTGAGTCTGTCAGCACGTGGGCTGGGGGGCTTGGTGTGGAGACAGGAGGGCAAAGGGCACAGAGTGGTGCCGGCCCTGGACGCGAGTTTGGGGAGGCCCTGCAGGCCGTGCTGCTGGGAGGGAGGCCTCCCCTGGCTGTAGGGGCTGCCTGGGCAGGAGCTGGGCCTTGGGAGGGAGACAGGGGACCTGGTGTCCCAGAGCAGCTGGGTGCTCAGCCCTGACCCCTTGACTCATCAAGGCCAGTCTTTGGGGTCCAAAGTGGGTGGGAATGGTGGGCAGGCTGGGGTGGGCTCCAAAGCTCACTGTTCTGGCTGTGCCCCCCAACAGTGGACAGGTGCTGGGCCGCCGGTCCTTTGAGGGCCGTATCTGTGCCTGTCCTGGCCGAGACCGCAAAGCCGATGAGGACCACTACCGCGAACAGCAGGCCCTGAACGAGAGTGCCGCCAAGAATGCGGCCGCCGGCAAGCGTGGTAAGCGGGGCTCCAGGCCAGGGTGCAGAGGGCAACCCCAGAAAGTTAGAGCCAGTCCACCCCGCAGGATGGGGCTGGACCTGCCTCAGGGCCCAGGTGGAAGCTGGCAGGGCACAGCACGAGCCTGTGTCCAGGGGGACAGAGCCAGCCCCATCCATGTGTCCACCCTGGGTCCAGCTCCATCCAGCATGGGCGGCTTCCCTGGGTGCCCCTCTAAGTGGGTTGTGGTCTCTGGGCTGTCCACAAGGTGCACGCACGTGAGGGCCAGCTCCTGGTGTGGCAGTGTCGCAGTGGCTGTGCCTGCCATGGCCCACCCCCTCCCCGCCTGCTCACAAAGCCCTCCCCGCCTCACCTCCAGCCTTCAAGCAGAGCCCCCCTGCCATCCCTGCCCTGGGCACCAACGTGAAGAAGAGGCGGCACGGGGACGAGGACACGTACTACATGCACGTGAGTGTTCTCTGTGGAGCACAGGCTGGGGCAGCTGGGGAGGAGATGCAGGGCCACTGGGGAGGCAGGAGAGACCACAGCCACCCTGAGAGCTGGGGCCCCGAGCTCGGCAGGCAGCAGGGCCGCAAAAGGAGAATTAGGTTACAAAGAGCCAGACCAGACAGGGCCAGGCTGCAGGGAAACCCGGATCTGCCAACTCGCGGACTCTGGGTGACACTACTCCCGACTTCAGAAGTCTTGCTGTAAACACGATGTGTGGGATGACAAGACTCCCACCGGGCAGTGCAGGAGGAATCCCACGGCCCAAAGTCTGGCGGGCCACCTCACTGTAACCCGAGTTTACACGATGGACCCAAGAGTGACCACTCCAGCTGGTGATGCAATCATCCACGTGCTTTGCTTGGACTGGTCTTGCGTTGTGTAAGCTTGTCGTTTTTTGAGTTTTTTTAGGAATGAGTCCCTCGTTCTAAAAGCCTCCTATTTGTTGAGTGCCCCCCAGCACCCCGAGTGTGCTGAGCACTGGGGAGCAGAGGGGGGAAGGCGGGGGGAAGGCTCAGGGGCAGGCAGCAGTGGACAGAGGAGACCTGGCCACCTGCTCCTGGGGAACAGGAAGGAAGGAGCACAGACCCCAGCCTGCGGGGTGCCATGGGACCCCGTGAAAGGAGAGATGCTTCGCTACAAGCCCAGGGTCCCCCAGAGGCTCCCACTCGGGGTCTAGGGCCCAGAGGAGCCCCACAGGCACCTGGGCAGAGGGTCCGCCTCTCGTGCCCAGGTGCGGGGCCGGGAGAACTTTGAGATCCTGATGAAGGTCAAGGAGAGTCTGGAGCTGATGGAGCTGGTGCCCCAGCAGCTGGTCGACTCCTACCGGCAGCAGCAGCAGCAGCAGCAGCTCCTGCAGAGGCCGTGAGTGCCGCCCCCTCCCGCCCTGGGGTTTCACCCCTCCCCCCCAACTGCCTAGGGGGGAAGGGTGGGACCAGTTGCACCCAGCAGGAAAAATGCCAGCAGCACCAGAAATCCCTCCCAAAAGTACAGCCGCCCAGGACAGGCAGCAAGGACCCTGTTTGGTGTCCCCTCCTCCAGGAGGCCTTCCTTGAACCACAGCAGCCACAGCCATCACTACACTTTTCTCTCCCACCAAGGGGTCCTCCCAGATCTCTGCTGAGTGGAGGGTGAGAACGGGGTGCTCAGAGTGACGCAAGCCCACCGATGCCGATTCCGGAGGCATGAGCCGCCCCACCTCCCTCCCACCCACCGCCGGGGTCCTGAGGATGGAGGTGCTCTCTGACACCTCAGCAGGGTCAAGTTCCCCATCCCCCTGCAGCTCGGGTAGTATGTGGAGGTGACTGGAGGGAAAGAAGCTGCCTGTGCGCTAACCTACATGAGTTGTCGTTTTCTGAGCAGGAGCCCCCTGCAGTCTCCGTCCTATGGGCCTGTTCTCTCACCCATGAACAAAGCACATGGTGGCATCAGCAAGCTGCCCTCGGTCAACCAGCTGGTGGGCCAGCCTCCCCCGCACAGCTCGGCGGCCGGGCCCAACCTGGGGCCCATGGGTGAGTTGCTTGGGCAGTGACGGCCTGGGGTGGGCTGAGGAGGCCCAAAGGGTGGGCCTGGCTTGAGACACTTCTGCTCAGCTCAGGACCCACGCGTGGGGCTCCCGACAGCTGCCTCCCTCCAGCAGCTTCGGCCCACCAGCACTAGGCAAGGCCACAGCCAGTCCCCTCGGTCCATTCCTGATCTCAGGGAGGGCCACGCCTTGAGAGCTTCCGGTGGCTGGCAGAGCCCAGGATGCCTGGCCCGGCTCTCTGACACTCCGATCTGCCTCTCGCCCAGGCCCCGGGATCCTCAACAACCACGGCCATGCCCTGCCGGCCAACGGTGAGATGAACGGCAGCCACAGCTCCCAGTCCATGGTCTCGGGGTCCCACTGCACCCCACCACCCCCCTACCATGCCGACCCCAGCCTGGTCAGGTACGTGGGCTGCTGCTGGGCCCTGCCACTAACCCACTAACCTGGTAACCCCCGCCGGGTGGGTGGTCTCTGCATGCTGCCGCCTGTCCTGGTGTTTTAACCTCTCTGCCATCGCAAGAACAGACAGAGGCCAGGGAAATGTCAGGAGTGAGTATCCTACAGATGCTCGAGGCAAAACACAGAAAGCCTGAGGCTCCCTGGAGGCTGTACCCGGGGTCAGCATGTCCCCAGTGCTGTAGCCAGCAGCAGGCAGAGGTGGCCGGTGGGGTGGCCAGGAAGCGTCCTTCAGGAGGCAGTCCCCACCCAGGTAGCCGCACAGCCGGTACTTAGAAGCTAATGCTCCTTTATTTCCCAAATTCTCTCTGCAGTTTTTTAACAGGATTGGGGTGTCCAAACTGCATCGAGTATTTCACCTCCCAAGGGTTACAGAACATTTACCACCTGCAGAACCTAACGATAGAGGTAACTGCCCGGCCAGCCCTCTGCCTGCCCCACAGACCCAGCGTGCGCAGGGCCCGGTCCGGAGGGCAAAGAGCTCTCCCTTCTTTCTGGGGCAGCTGCTGTCTCTGGTTCTCGCCTGTGTGAGGGGGGGCTGGGAAATTTGGAAAACCCTCCTTCCCACGAGCGAGACCAACTGTATCCTCACATCTAACTCCTGCGCTGAAGTCAGCTCACAAGCTGTCAGCAAGTTCAGTTGCACAGGCAGTGGGCTGGATGGGCCTCCCACCCAGGCCCCCCACAGCCGGACCGCTCCTTTGGACTTGAGTCTTCTCTCATGCCCTTTCTGGCACCCAGAATCTCTGGCACCCAGTGACCAGGCTGCCTTTGATTTGGGGGAGGGGGGGGGGCGGTGCTTCCAAGGCGCAAAGAATTGTGGGAGGCAAAGACCAGGAGGGTCTCAGAGCTGGTCTAGTTCAGTGCCATTTGCACAGGGAAAAACTGAGGCCCAAAGAAGATGAGACACACCTCACTCGCTGTACACATACTACTGAACCTCCTGGGTTGAGGGTGTGGGGCTAGCAGCATGCTGGGCATCATGACCAGAGAGCCACAGCTCATCTTCAGGTTAAACAGGAACGCGGGCAGTGTGTCCCCCCTAAACAGGGCCACAGGCAAGAGATGCTGGTTTGTCAGAGGACATGGGGCCAGTGGCTCAGAAGGTAGCCGTGTCTGTGTGTCTGCTACTGTCCCCATCCCTGGTGACCCCTGCTTGGCTAGCTCAGTGCTAACCCCTGCCTCACCAGCACGACGTGTGGGCTTGGTGTGTGTGTGGAGTGGGGAGAGCAACAGGAGCCACGATGGTCTGCTCTGGTCCCAAGGGGCAGACCAGGGGGTGGCCCCACCCTGAGGCTGGGAGGCAGGCGGCCCTCCATCTGTCAGTCTGACTGTGATCAGGGACCCAGGTTCACCCCTACACATACACACACGTCACTTCTTAGCTCTCTGGCCACCTCTGGCTGGGGCCCCAAGAATGGGATGTGGCAAGATCACTGCACATAAGGTGGGTCCAGTGCTGCCCATCCTTCTAGGCCCTTCAGAGCTGCATGGCCCTCCGGGTCAGGGGCTCCTCGGCCACCCTCACAATCAGCTCTGCAGGAGCCGGGTGAGCCCGCAGACTGACATCCCTGGTGGGAGGGGGAGAAGCAGGGCTGGAAGCTCAGCCCTCTAATGGGGCGGCTGGGCGCCCACTGCTCTTGCAGGACCTCGGGGCCCTGAAGATCCCGGACCAGTACCGGATGACCATCTGGAGGGGTCTGCAGGACCTGAAGCAGGGCCACGACTACGGGGCGCAGCAGCTGATCCGCTCCAGCAGCAACGCCTCCACCATCTCCATCGGCAGCTCCGGGGAGCTGCAGAGGCAGCGGGTCATGGAGGCTGTGCACTTCCGCGTGCGCCACACCATCACCATCCCCAACCGCGGTGGTCCAGGCGGGGGCTCTGGGCCTGACGAGTGGGCAGACTTCGGTTTCGACCTCCCAGACTGCAAGTCCCGAAAACAGTCCATCAAAGAGGAGTTCACGGAGAGCTAGATCAACTGAGGGGGGTGGGGACAGCGCAGGCCGGGGGGCCCTGCCTGCTGGCTTCTGGAGGAGTCCACCTGACCTGGTGCACAGAGCAGAGCATGAGCACTTGTGGCCTGGAGTCCCAAGAAGCCTTGCTTTATCTCCTCCTTTTTGTCAGACTGCCCTGGGAGGCAGGACCTCTGGGTTGTACCCAGGAAAAGGCAAGGTCCAGCCCTGCAGCCTGCCTTCACCAGCCCCAGGAGATGCCTCTGGCCAGCGCAGCCAGCCAGCCAGTGGGAATGGCCCATGAGGGTGCCTGGAGCTGCACTGAGGGCGTGCTCTGAGGGCCAGCATCCTCTGGGATGGGCCTCACTCCTTGGCCTAATCTTTAGGGACTCTGCTGCTCCCAAGCGAGATCCCTCGAAATAAAGGGTCGCCTTTGCTGATGGACTGCCAAAAAGTATTTTTCATTGTCTTTTGGGTCTGAGTAGCAATGAGTGGCTCGTGATTGTATCCAAAACACAGTTCTTTTCCGGTCACTGCTCCAGACTGTGTCTCAGGATGGGTCCCTCTGCTGGACTTGAGGGTCAGTCTATTCCTCACACACTTGACCACTAGTTCAAACCCCACTGCAGCTACCTTCCACTTCCTGCCCAAAGTGAACAGCAGAGTTTCACTAGAATTGGAGAAGACTGGAGAGGAGGTTACCAGGGGCACGGCCCTTCCCAGGAGGCGAGGAAGCTTCTGGTCAGTCGATACAGCCAAAACCCATGCCAACACTGCTGGCCACAGTCGCTGCTCTTCAGTGACCCTCTCAGCGTCAACATGGACAGCATGCTCCTCAGACTACTGGAAATTGTCAATATTTGATAAAATCATACCCTTTTCTACATGGTGGGTCAGCTTTTTTTTAACTCATCCTCAACCTGGTGGTCTTCCAGAGTCCAACCTGGTGGCCTTCTTGGCCTCCCAGGTGGATGGCAACAACCCAGGCTAAGAAAGCTGAGGAGTAAACCAGGTGGGGGTCCAAACCGAGTGAGGGACCATCGCTTGTTCCTGGGTGGCTGGTTGGGAATGAAGCCCAGAGCAAGAGGCCGCCGAGGAAGTGCAGGGCACGTGCGTCCGCACCACCGCTCTTGGCTGGGAGGCTCTCCGGCTGGAGCAGCTCCCATGTCCCCTGGCTACTTTTGCAGTGGGGGTAGGGCAGTGGACTGCTTTCTCGGGGCCACAGGGAGAGCCCCTCCCAGGTGGAGGGAGCAGGTGGCAGGAAGGCCCACGCCTTGGGCTCAGGGGCTGGGCTCTGTGCTGGCAGAGGCCCTCGTGTGTTCACGGGGACAGCACTGCGGCAGGTGGGGGGGTCCAGTGCTTCGTGAGGCACCCCAAGGAGGCAGTGGGCTTTGGGGAGACAGCTTTCGCACGCCCAGCTTTTGTAGTGATGGGGCCATTTAAGTCTGCATGGAACCTTCGGAGCCTTTGCAGCCAGAGAATTGAATCCCAGAGCCCGGCTGCAGAGCGGGAACAAGACTACAGAGAAATGTGGGTGTGGGGCATGAAGCCAACCCCATTCCAGGCAGCTGGGATGAAGGGAATCCTGGCTAACACAAGCGGAGACACCGCCTTGGGCACAGGCCGCCAGGTGCCTGCCAAACACAAGTGGGTCCCCATCCGTTTGCCTGGGGCACGCGTGGAGTTACGTTATTTCTAGGCTGGGCTCTCCTGTCACTGATGTCCCCAGAGAAGCAGGTAAGCCCCAGGCCAGGGGAGGTGTAGACACAGCCGTTAATCACCCTCTGGGTCTCTTCTTGTTGCCATAAACCACCCAGAAGATGCCCTGCTCTTCGGGGAAGCGAGGAAGGGCTGTCTTCAGGTTGCCTGTTCAGAGAAAAAGCAGCAGATCCTGTGGAGGGTCCATTCAGAAGTCAAGTTCCATCCCTCTGCTCGTTGAACAAAGAATGGGTGTTAAAATGCCAATTTCTTTGTTAGATTTCCAGGCTCTGGAGAAAGCTGGACATTGGGAGGAGGAAGGAGTGTTAATTGTATTAAAATGGTTCAGAGACTAGCCAGCAGGGGAAGGGAGCCCTCGAGTGGCTCAGACCCCATCCAACTCCAGTGAACAAAGCCACAGAGTCAGCTCTGCCCCAAACCCACCATTGGGGTCGCGCCGACTAGGACTTCATCTCAGGAAAAAGCATAAACATCGCCAGTCTCTGTTGATTTAAAAGCAGCAATTTGTGTTGACGCAGGTGCCTGTGTCTAGGATAATGCCCCCAGCTGGCCCCCTCCACCGTGCGCTCCCTGGGGACCACCTTTCAGGGTTGTGAGAGCACCCAGGATGCTCCGCCTGCAGCCAGGGCTGAGAGCCATGTGGTCACAGAACCAGGGCACTCTGACAGGCATCAGGCTTTGCCAATTAGCCCGGAGCAGCTCAGCTCCTGGGGGATCTGCAGCTCCCCCAGAATACACAGCACGCCCAGGCGGCCACAGTCACAGTGGCCACAGACTCAGGGCTACTGCGGGCTGGGCAGACCGCCCCATCCGTGCATTTCCTCATCTCTCTCTCCCAAGCCCGGGGTAAGGACACTGTTCTTGCCATTTCACAGACAAGGGAGCTGAGGCACAGGAGGGCTAAGTCTTGTGACTCAAGTGTCACAGCCAGCTCATAGCGGAGCCGGGCTGGAGTCTCGCACTTGCTCTCGGGCCACCTGCTGGAGTCCCCCAGTTGTCCCCCTCGTACCACCTCAGGAGTGCAAGGGCCCATCCCCGACTCCCTGGGGTCCACAAACCCAGCTGAGATGCAGCTGAGTTCCCAGGTCTTGCATGGCTTTGTTTCTTAGGCATGTTTCCCATCGGCCCAAGTCTGGCAGGGGACGCCACAAGGGCCCCCACCGTATGCTCCTGGAAAGGGTTAGTGGGAGTGTGACACTGCAGGCAAGGGTGGGCAGAGCCCCCAGCCAAATGACGAGGAAGGAAAGCCTTGGGGCTGTGAACGGTGACTGTCCTCCCAGCAGGGGCCCCAGGTGCACAGGGGCTCCTCAGACCCCCACCTGCCTGTGTGAGGAGCTCACGGACCACGAGCCTGTTCTTCCTTTGCTGATGGAGGAGAGAACAGCTCTGAGAATAAAGGAGTCTCGGCGGGGAGAAAATAGAAAGCAACAAAAGCTTTCAAGGCGTAAGGTTTTCCCAAGGGGACGGGGCGGGAGGGCAGCTGCTCGCTGTGCTGAGTGACAGCCAGGCAGGAGAGCCAGCACACCAACACCTGCAGAGGTGGTTTCAGCAGGAAAACAACAGCTAGCCAGTCACTCCTCTGTCTCCCATGGCCACAGCGGGCTGTGGCTGTACCCAGACGTTCGCCACCAGGGCTGGGCGGCCACGAAGTGGTCGTTCCTCGCAGGTTTGATTGCACAGTCGGAGGCCCAGGCCCCCGACATGCATGGATCTGGGACACAGTGTAACTTGTCCCTGCGAACAGATCAGCGTTTCACCCACAAACATCCACTTCTGTCATGGTCAGTTAAAGCACTTTAATGCTTTAAGGTTGGAGAAAAAATACCTACCACCCATGTTTTTAATGTAATATAATGCTTCTTCAAGCAGTATTAATGGATATATTCCAATGATGCTAACTGTTTTTGGTAATGTAATCTTGGGAAAATGTGTTATTTTTTTAGCTGTGTTTTGGTGGGAATTTTTGTCTTTGTAACATAATAAAGCACATGTTCCAATGACTGTCTCATAAATACGTCACATTCGACAACAGCACAGACGGAGAGACGGCTCCTTATAGGCGAGGGAACCCACGGCCTGGCCTGCGCTCCTCTCGAGTGTTCGGGGGGCGTGAGGAGCCCGCGGGGTGCCCTCTCCCCTGCGCCTCGGAGCCGCGTGCTCAGCCCTGACTCAAGTCACAGGAACAACCTGCGGGCAGACAGACGGGCGGTTCTGTCCGGGCAGAGCCTGCTAACCTCCCAGGACTGACCTCGGCCTCAGCCTGGCCACCTCAGGCCTCCTGAAGTGCAGGCCATGACCCCTCATCCAATCCCCTGAGGCCTGGGGGTCTCAACTTCAGAAAGGTCATACAGGGCGTCTGTGTAGGTCATGAACACCCTCCTTGCTGTCTGGAGTCCGGTGTGTTCACATTTCTCTGCAAAACTTAGCAAAACAAAAGATGGCTGGGAGCTCAAGTTGGCTCCACTCAGGCTCTAGGCCACCTGCGCTTCCTTTCGGCTCCCCCACTTCTCAGATTCCTGGATTTCAGAACTGTGAGTAAGGCACTGGGGACCTGCCACAGCACAACTGGGCTCTCGAAATCCATGCAACCTTGAGCAAGGCCTGAGCCACTGGGCTGAAACGAAGCAGAACAGAGCAGGGGGCAGAACGGACCAGGGAGCCCACGCCCCCCAGCACTCGCCAAGCGGGGAGAGCTCGGCTGAGCGGGGAGAGCTCGGCTGGGCGGCGAGCCAGCACGGGTGGCGGGGAGGGGCTGCCTCCCTGGCCGGGCTACTCACCCACACTCCTTCACACCAAACCCGCTCATCCCTTTCCCCAGGGCCCACGGGGGAGAGCTGAGCGAGAGGTGCCGCCACCCTATCACAGGGACAGGAATCTGAATCACAAACACGCCGACCCTCAGAAACAGGACGGGACACAAAGACTCGGGATGTTTAACTAGAGAGACTGCCGCGCACACCACAGAAACAGGGACTTTGAACGCCCTCGGAGGAACGAACACAATAATCTAGTGGTCTCAGCACGAGCGCAATTTTAATATCTTTGTTAAAAAAGTTTTTGTTTTTAAAGTAGAGTACAATACAATTATTTTCAAATACATAAAAACATGTCCAATAAATTTGACGTGTAATTTTAGAAAGATAACATGAAGGCCAGCCCGGTAGCATAGTGGTTAAGTTCACATGTTCCACTTTGGCAGCCCAGGGTTTGTGGGTTTGGATCCCTGGCACAGACCTATACATTGCTCATCAAGCCATTCTGTGGCGGCATCCCACATACAAAACAGAGGAAGATGGGCACAGATGTTAGCTCACAGCCATTCTTCCTCAAGTAAAAAGAGGAAGATTGGCAATAGATGTTAGCTCAGGGCCTATTTCCCCACCGAAAAAAAAAAGATAACCTGGTTCAAAGCAGATCTGCCACTTTGCAAGGCACTATGTTTCTTGGAATGTAACTGCTCAGAAGAGAAGAGCAGGCTATTGCTGAGACGTTTCCCATGCCCCTGCGGGACACAAAGTATTGGAGCGTTTCCCTACCGACATCCAGAGAGAAAGTCTGTATTGAGGCAAGAAAAGAACAACGGTGTTTAATATCATACGCAGTACTTTATCCTGTTTCTCAGGAACGGTGCTGCATAATATTACTGTGCACAAACTCAGACTCTTCAAGAAAACTGTTTCACTTTGAAACACTGCTATAACTGCCCCAAAAGGCCCAACAAACTGGGCAGGCTGCTTCGTGCAGGCACCGTTTAGGCTAACACCCTGAACAGCCTTCAGCTCTGCTCACCACACGGAAAAGCAGACGCTCAGAGCGCAACTGCAGCTTCTGGGTCAGTTCACACGGTCGAGTTCCCGACCTGCGTTCTGCTGAGGAGCCTCTGACCAGGAGGGCAGCCCTCACTCACCAGGCCCGAGCTCCAAACAGAGAAGCAGCCCAACCTGTCCCCTGGCTCTGATGTCACGTCCTCAACAACCCCAATACACCAGGAATGAGACTCACTCGGCTTTCAAAGGCTCCCTTCTCAGTCTCCGGAGAGGACAATGCCACGGGAGGCTCTATCTGTCTCCGTGACGGGCACAAGTGGACAGGCCGTCAGACCTCAGGCAGGTCCCGGGTTCCATGAGTGCTGCGGCTCATGGTGTTTCTGTCCTGACCACAGAGG